GGAAATAGTCAGTATTCACAACCGTGTTTTGTTTGGGTCTGTTGGATGTGGGGACTGGATTGTTGGGGGTTTTTTTTCTGGTTTGTGGCTCTTTGGGAATGTTAATGGCTGTCTGCTTTCCTGCCCTTAAAATATCTGTTTACCATTTTGCTGGCTCATAACTTGGTCATTTGGCACTCGTGACCTAACCAGACAGATCAAAGGCTTTCAAAGGGCAGACTCTATGAATACTTGCATCTCCACCGCCAATGCCCTGATTTTCCCTGTCTCTTCCCTCACCTCAAATCTTCGTCTGTTTATGTGTTTCAACAATGAAACAAACCTCTGGACCAAATGTGTGAGAGTCCAGTGGTCACCTCTAGGCCACCATTAGCTTACGGTAACCTCAGTGCTATTGGATGGGAACCCGAGACAAAGTGGCCTTTGTTCCAAAGGTTTGTTTGTTTATTTTATTTCGAATGCCTGTGGGCTAAGACTCTTCTAATACATTTCCCAGGGACAAGGTGAAGAACGGCTTCATGATTTCTTTATTTACAGTGCCTTTAGACATTGCACGTTTCGGTCCTGTTCTCAACCCAGAACTAGAAGCACAGCCATAAATCGCTTAGCTCCTGGGATTGCTGCGCAGAACTCCTACCAGGATTTATAGGAGACAGAATGTATGAGATAATAATAAACTTATAAGGACACTTGCAACATGTAGGAATTCTTAAAGCTATTGACATCATGAGGAAAAGTTTGTCCCTTTCTTAGAATGTATGGTGCAACACTGCTGGCATCCAGTGTCTCTGCTGGGCTGCCAGCTAACAATGGGACTGGGGATTTACTCAGATTTTTGGCTCATGAAAAAAGAGTAACTACCCATCATGTGTTGCAAATATTGAAAGGTTATAAACACCACAAACCATCCTTTTCCAACAATGTGCTTGAACATGTGTTTGAAGTTAAGCATGCACTTTGATTAAGCAGGGGTGGACCAAGCCTGGATGTGAATGGATTGGTTTTATAGTTACATATTCTTCTTGTTTGGCTGAGTACGGGTGATGAGGATTATACAGCCTTGACAAATCAGGGTCTAGAATTAGATATAGGCAAGTATACTTTGCTGAATTAGCGTCCTAGAAAAGAGAGTAATCAGCAAAAGGTACTAGACACCAACTCAAGGAACAGAAGTAGATCTCATCTTAAGATAGCTGCGGGCATATGATAAAGAAGAAATGGACCTATTCAGGAAAAGTCTTATACTGGAATTTAGGAACAGCCACGCAATAGGAGATCTGTGAAACTGTGGAATAGATCTTAGTGATGAGAGCTTCATGTCTCAAGACACTGACAGCTTGAGTGAGTGGTACACTAGTAAGTGGTAAGAAAGAAAACAGAGATTTAAGCAACAAAGTAAGGAAACATAACCTTTTTCTGTTCTAAAGGCCCAGATAGCCATTTCGATTTAAACTGCCATGTGCCAGGTAGAAGCAGCATCAAATCTTTATATGTGATTTTCCAAAAATGAAAATAAATCACTGAGATCTTTCTATGGTGACCTTATCCTATATGTAATTAGTTAGCGAGTTGATGTTGGTCATTCGTTTCAGGGTTGAATCTTTATACTGTCAAGCATTTTGGGGTTCTGTTTTTAAGGTATTCTACACCGAATGGAACTTGCATGGTGAATTACTAACCTACCTCCTGCCACAGGACCTTAAGTGGTTTAGGGTTGCTTCTCTGGAAGCCTCTTCATGTCCAGCTGCATCAGGCAGTATGGACCCTCTGAGCATTTAGATCATACTGCCTTGCACAGTTCAGTATATCTCATAAAAAGCCTTTGTGGGGCGACTTACCAGAATAGCCCAAAAGATAAAGGAATATACTGAGATTACCTTCAGAATATTTATGCCCCTTTTGCTATAGCCTAGTTGTATTTTTCGGTGAACTTTCCTGTGTACATCATCTGTGTACACAGGTGCTCTGATCATGAAGAACCACAGTCTGGAAAATACTATGGTGAGACCTGTCAGCCACATGTAAAGCAAGTCCTCTTGGTTTGATGGCACAACTCTTCCTCCTGAAAGGTGTTTTACTGTCTGTGCAAATGCGTTTCAGCTGGGGTCATTGTCACAGTCTGTGGAAAGGTATCAGGACACTATTTGTGACTAGAATCACACAGCTGAGAGTGCAGCAATACCAATTTTGTTTTCAAACTCATGTATTTTTTGCTGTCTACTTTCAGGGAGCCTGTGTGATGGTGCAACCAGCCAATGTTACCTGCTGCCCGTCTTGGATACTGTATTCGTCCGGAGAAAGTGCAGAAGAGGTGGCCTAGGGATGAAAATGCTGCATGATTTCTGTCAGTCTTTCATGGCTGAGGATGCCTTGGGGATCAGCTGCCCTATTTCTGCTGCCATGTATCAAGGTAAATCATCTGATGTGGAAACATTAGGTAAGGGTCATGTATAATGTATAAAATTCAATATGGTCTTGGTAGGATTTTCTTAAGTGTGTAAAAGCTCAGTGCACTTGTCTGAACAGAACTGTTGTTAGTGTGCAACTGGTTACTTTTCTTGAGACATCTGGAATTTCCCGTAGAAAGGTAGGCCAGTATTTATGTAAGACAATAAGAAGCATAAACCTTATACTGCCTGTTTGACAATTTGCATTCTTATTCCGCTGTCATAAAAATGGAAGTGCGTCATTGCCCTAGACAGTGACTTCCCCATTTTGTTTGACACCAGAGGGAAAAGCATCACAAGATGTTGTCAAGCCTACACCATGCATGTAATGCCCTTGTAGATGACTGCATTTGCAAGAAATGAGATTTAATAAGCCATATACTTGGGCTCTGCTCATTTGTCCAGTGACATCAATACTTGTTTCGTATTGACTGTCTTTGAAGATTTGGCACTTTTAAAAGATCACTGAGTAGTTATATATCTTCTCTGTGTTCAGGTTGAAGTTCTGGTTCTGCTGGTAAAATTTGCAGAAAATATCTCTGCTTCCCTTATTTACAAAACCGTTTTCATTTAAAAAGCATTTTTTCCTAAAGTTTGTCTCTGTGCGGTGTACGGTCTTTACCGTCATTTTTTGGGAGATATTTCTATTGACTGACGACTCTAGATCCATTTCTTAACAAGTGTCAACAAAATTTTAACTGTATCGTTCTTTCTCTTGGTCACTGTGTGCCACTGAAGGTGCACAGATGTACCCCAGTGTATCACAAATGTACCCCAGGAGTTTCTAAGGTACCGCTACTTCTAAATTCAGGAAGGAAAAGTATTTGCAAGATTCTTTCCCTTCTCCCAGTAATACCCATTTTTCCTGTGTCAGGCAGCAATGGTTTAGTCACTGCGCATCAGAAAGCTGCATTGTTTATATGCTAATGCTAGTGACATTTTGCAAGACTATGCTTTCATCTCAATTAAGTTTAGAGCTAATAGTGAATAAATTTGTCTTGTATCATGTTCCAATTAGGCTTTCTGGGTCTTACTGTTATAGAAATACTAATACAGTGAGTTAAAGTTCAAGTATATCGAAGGCCCTGCCTGTTCTTAATTTCATTTGGGCCACAGTCTCAAACTTTGGCAAAGCAATGCAACCTTTTGCTCAAAATCTCTGTACTAAATGTGCACAGTCTTCAATAGCGTATTATTTCATGTCCTATAGGGGCCTAAGAGGAAGTAAAAAGCCTTGCTCTAGATATCTTTATTTTTGTATATATGTTACTTTCAGTAGCTCTTATTGAAATGATTAATTTAATTTGGATATCCTTGGATAAAAGTAATGAGAGCGATCTGCTCATTACTGTAAGGCAAATGTTTACATACCAGAACTAGGGTTTTTGTTTCGACATCCCATTGTTAAAGTCAACTGAATGCTGAAGATGAATTACCCATTCTGTACTAGGATGAACTACAGTAGACAGAGAGCATGAAAATAATTTTGTTGTTTACAGATTGCTGCCTTGGTACAGTTGATGGAACTAACAGAATGGTGGTTAAGGAAAGTTGACAAATCCCCCCTAATTTTTTTTAACTGTTTGTCCTACGACATCTGCCTCTTCTTGATTCTGCAGGCATCCTAAGGAAACCTCTAAATAAGACAGATTACCATTTGATAACATAAGCAAACCTAACTTTGGTTGTTAATCCAAAGTGTATCAACGTTCAGTGTATACTGGTAGGAATCTATGAGAATATGTTTTCTAAAGATTATTGTACATCTGACGTCAGTAACTCCGCTATTCCTCTGTTAGTTTTTCCTGTTTTCCACCTTCAAAGAAGTAAATAAACACCAGCCACAGAGTTTTGGGTAGCAGTAATAAAATGAAGGGTGATACTGGCCCAAGAATAAACTGATACAAATGTTTTGTTTAGGAATAGAAATTAGATTTGCATTAGAGTTGCTGGAAGATACTGAAGGACCTTTCGTTTCAGAGTAGTGAGGGTGAAAAACCCTGCACTGCTGTTAGTCTAAAACCCGCAAAGTGTCGGGAGATAGTTCTGTGATGCAGTGCCAGAAGAAGGTGGTTCAGTAGGTCATTTCAAGACTTTCTGGTATAGAATACACTCCCTCTTCCACTCATCCATGCTTTTACCCCTTGGTTTCTCCTATTCAGTTTGCCAGAAATTCTTGCAGACGTATCCTGAGGAGCAGAAGAGACTGTGGGAGGTGGAAGCACCAGGAGACTGGAGCCAGCGAGCGAATATCTGGTTAAAAATTCAGATGGAGTCATCCCCTTCAGGAAGTAAGTTAAATTAAAGTGTGAATTTGGTCATGTTAGTTACTTAAAGATAAGAAAGCAAATCAGGGGTTAGGCAGTGCTAGTAGACAGGTGGTTTCTCTGTTGTTTGCACATGGGGAAAGTACTGAGTGCACGGTCCAGCTCACTGGTCTTTTCCCAGTAAACAGGAAAATTCTTAGAAATTATGAGTAATGAAATTGAACTACAGAGCATCTGAGAGATGCTGAACAAAACACAGTCTTGGCATAAAGTGCCTGTAACTCCCACTGCAGTGCACTTACAGCAGGGTAGAAGTTAGCCCCAAAAATTCCTGTAGCACAACACAATGTCTGGTTTATAGAGAGGGGTGTATTTCTCTGAAATTATTACAAAGAAGAAATTTGTATGGCCAATGGGCAATGTGTTTAATTACCTTCCATTTGCTGCCAATGCCGTTCTTGGATGGAAACACAAACATTTTCATTATGGCTTTTGGAAGATTCAGAGTACTCTCCTACAGGGTAAATCCGTCTTGCTGGGAGCATTTTCTGCCTACCTCACGAAAGATAACGATGGAGTAGGAAAACCTGTTGGCAGTTCATACGGGGATCTCGTTCATGTGATCTGTTCAGCTGGCTTGGGGATCCAGAGGGGCCCCTCTTCTGCACACACACAAGCTGTGATAAGCATTAGGTTCCAAAAGAAGGGAACACCATTGTCTCCTGCTGGAAGTGCAGCGAGAAGTGCTGCGGAGCAAATTGCTCCCATGCCATCCCACATCTGTCCTGCTTTGTGTTGGCTTGGGGACCTTCAGCTGAGACATTGTGTTTCATCTCATCTGCAGCACCCCACAGGAGAGTTAAGTCAGAATTTAGCCCTAGGCTGGGTTCTTCTGAAGCCGTTATATTTCTGTTCCTCATGCTTTAAACCAAGAAAAACTGGTGTTGCATTTTCCTTTAATCCGCCTTGTTAAGTTCAGTTTATTAATGGCGATCAAAAAGAACTTTGATCAGATCAGAAAACAGAAAGCAGATCCTGGAGGACAGTGTAGTTTCTTTTTTCTGTCTTCTTTTTGCCATCCTCTACAAAAACAAAGAGAAACGACCCAAAATGTGGATAAATATCATTCTACCAGAGTGACTCTCAGTGAAAAATCCACGAGGCCTGGGAACTGTCTTGGCCAGTTCTGCACGTAAATAAGATGTCTCGTATTTACAAAAAGAAGAAGGAGGAGAAATATAAGCCAGAAACGGGGACGTGGAGTGTTTTTATATATTGTGAACTGCAGTGTGGTCTTTATAGTGGAAAGGAGCAGTAACAAGTGAATTTGGCACTAAAATATATAATAAAAATCTGCTTTTTAAATTATATTCTCCAGTCTGACTGCACAGCTCACGGGGCATCACTTCCCTTTACTCTGAGTGTGCTGAGAAGGTTTTATTTCATCCGTCTTTGGTGGAAAATCAACCCACTATAAAACAGT